CTGAAAATATTAGGTGTGTCCCGCGCGCTCATATGACCTATGCAGTTGCGAGCGCCGTAAAACACTTTACAAAAACAAGCTGAAATTGAAAAAGCGGGGACATCATGGAAACAGATAGAAAAGGACGCTCAGGACAGGTTTCGCTGGAGTAATGCTGTTGATGGCCTGTCCTCCACATGGAGTTAAAAAGGGCAAGAGAAGAGAGAGAAGACTTCTGAGGTGGTGTAGACTGTCCTGTCCAGGTCTGCCAACAACACACCTGCTATGTTTCTCCGCTCACATCCATCCTGGGCTCTGACTGGCTATTGGAATGGCCGATCACTCGTGAGAGCGCGTCCCAGAAGTTCTTTTTGATGTTCTCGTCCTCCATCTCCTCCTGTGGTGGGTACTCTGTGTACTTGTTCTCTCTCAACACCCGCATGAGGTCCCGGGACAGACGCTGGTAGTCCATGGGCACGGCCAGGATTAGGTGCAGCACCGGACGCTTCTCAAAGACCATCTCACACAGCGCCATCTGGATACCGTACTCGGAATAATCATCATCGAGGAAGTCGGGGGAGACCACGGGGAGGGTGAGAGTGCTACTTTGCACGGCACACGTTATGTTTGGGGTGATGAAGGTACCGGGCATGAAGTCTCGGTCCGCAACACAAAGTTTGTGGCCTCGGTTTGTCTCCAGCTCTGTCAGCATGGTTTGTAAAACAAAATCTCGATCTTCTTCGGCGTATAGTATGAAAGCGTCGAACTTGTGACCTGAAGTTTGGGAACTGGGATGGAACCCAAACCACTTGGAGACCGTCACTTTGTGCAGGTATCGTAACTTCCAGCGGCACCGATACACCACGAGGAAACTCGAGAGCAAAAGGAATAACGAGGCGCACACGACTGAAATGAAGACCACGTCGAGCAAAGGTGCGCAGCGTCTCCTCATGGTCGATACACGAAGGCTCAGGTCCCCAATGGTGACGTAATGGTTCTTTTCCAAGCGACAAACCAAAAAGTCTTTGCCAGACAGATGGACTTTGGTCGTTGCTAACCATGACAAGATTTCGATACCTTTACAAGTACAAGGGAGTGGGTTTTTCCGCAAGTCTAAACTCACAGGATGGTGGAGAGCTATTGAGTCTAGACCGTCTCTTGTTGCTTTCCCAATCCACGCGATAGAGTTTTTGCTGGCATCGATTGTTGTCAAGTCTGGCATACTGGATACGCGAAAATTCAAACTCTGAAGTTTATTGTCTGATAATATTAGCACACGAAGTCTCTTCAAGCCCTTAAAAAAGTTCGGAGACAGCCTATAAATTAAATTCATAGACAAATCTAGCATGACAACACGGCCAAGTCGTTTGAAGAGTATGCCATGTTCGTCGTTGGCAAATTGTGGACCCAATATATTGTTGCGGATGTTAAAAAATTCTAGAGAATTGTTAAGAGGGAAAAACCTTTGATGGACGAATCTGCAGTAATTTCCCTCTAGAGACACGACCCTTTCACTCCCGTGTAGCCAGCCTCTACCCCATTTAGACAAAAAACTGTTCGAAAAATCTATCTCCTTTAATTTTGCCTTAATTTTTCCAAATAGGACCAATTCTCCATATAGTATGAATTGTGAAGTCCAAAGTATTTGCAAACTTGGGGGTAACTTAATCGCCTTCACTTTGCTTGAGATTGGAGAGGTGAAGCCATTTTGATTTTCACTCATCGTCTCTCGTGTTTTGTCCTCAGCGTCGGTCGCCTCGCCCATAACAAATAGATTGTTCCTCATACGGCCTGCATTTAGCAGCCCATTGTACAGAGGCGGCTGTATTGCTGGATATTCATATTCTTTCAGAATTCCATCTGGATACTCTTCTGAATCTATAATATCTGAAGGTATTAACTCACATGTCTCACCATCTTTGTTTTCTTGTTGCTTCGATGGTAGCGTCATCAATTCCCCTACGTTTTGACCAGTTAAATCTAATTTCACAATGTTCTTCAAACGAGTCAAAAATGGGAGTCCAAAGGTTCCTATGGTGAATCTGTTGTTTCTCAGTACTAATGTCTTTAACGTTTGGGGCAGAGCCTTGAAGAAGTTTATCTCGATCATAGCGAGGTAATTCTCTGACAAATCCAGCAGCTCAAGCTTCATGTTCTTGATGAATTTCGAATCCTCTTCAGTTACGTACCTGCAGGGGAGACCATTGTGACTAACCAAATGGACAAGCTCCAGAGACTTCATTGAAGAATTTTGTAGACTAGCTAAGGAGCGCAAAGCTTTACTGAATCCAAGGTTCCTGGCGTATGACATTTTTAAATGCTGTAATTTGG